AGAATTAAAATTTCCAAAAAATATTTTCTTTAAACCAATTGTTGTGTTTCTAAATTAATTTTAAATAACACATATATTAGTTTTATACTTATATATACTTATTTATACATATTAGTACTATTTTATTGTGTATAAATGTATTATTTTAATTGTCAAAGTTTTACCATTTTCAAGATAAATTTTATAAGATATGATTTTCAATTTCAGTAAATTTACATTTGTATAATTGTACCTATCTTTTTATGTATAAATGTATTAGATTTATTTTCATTTTTATTGAGATACATTTTATAGGATATTATGTAGGTATAAATTATTACATTTAAATGTATTAGTTTTATTTTTATTTTCACCTTTGTTGAGATAAATTTTATATTTATTTCAGTAATTTATATTTTAATGATTGTACCTATATATCGCTTCTCCAGAGCAACATCGACGCAAGTACAGATTACTAAAATGCTGGAAAATTGACTTTTAAAAATATTTTTACAGCAAAGTAAACAAAGTGAAAGTTTAAGTGAATATTTTTGAAACTGAAATTACTTTTTTTAATGGTAAATTTAGTCTAATTTTAAATGACAATCTTAGTGTTTTGATAATAAAACTTTTAGAGTCTACACAGATCTCAGAACTTTGCAGCCTCCCAGTTGCGTCATTGTTCTTCCAATGTTTTTCAAATAGTTTCTGAATCGGTTTGAGTTGGTCTACAATAGTAACATTAAAAAAATTTAAAGAAAGGTTTAGGTATATAATTTTATTGTCAGTAAATAATACAAACTACTCAAAATGATAAAAAATAACAAAAACACTACTCAGAATTACTAAAAAGTAACATTTGTTTTTTGTACACCTTTAAAAAAATTAACAAAAACATTCACAATTCAAAACAAGCTATTAAAAAAAGGTTCGTAATATTTGGGAATTATATTACTTGATAATAAATTTTCTAGGTCCCTTTTCTTATTTTCAGAGATCGGAATTTTTGAAATGTATGCAGGTCTTTTTCTAACATCTACATTATCATCTGTCCTTGTCACTCGTCTACTTTTTACGGTTATAGCATAGGCCTGATTCCAATCCACCTGTTTGTAGCTGGTTTTGTAAAAGAACCTATCACTTTCCTTCTCAAATCGAATTATTTTAATATCTGACAATTTTATTTGTTCGCCGTGTATATTTTTCTGGCAGTTGAAGCCGATGTCGTTAGCAAGCGTTTTCAAATCGATGAAGTCATTGTAACTTAATTCTTTTACTAGAAGAGGGTTTCCTTTTTTCTTTGCGTTTCTAATAATCGACACAATTTGATCGGGAACGTATATCGGTCCTGACTTTTTAGCTCTTTTCATAGCTTTTTCGATGATACTGTGGACTACATCACCTTCGTTCTGTGTATGACCTCGGATGAGATACTTGTGTGTTATGGAATTTAACTGAAACTTCTTAATTGCGTAGTAATACATTGCAAGGACAAATCTGTTTTTTTGCTGACCACCGCAGTTATCGGAATAAAGAATTATGTCAGATTGAGGATGTGTATTAGCGATTTCTTCAAGAAATGAAAGGACACATGAACCAATTTCGACTGCTCCTCTATGTCCTAGACCTTCATGCCAGAAGTAACAGGATGTCTTGTCATTGCCTATTTCTGATATCGTAAAATTAAAACAATTTAATCTTGATTTATAGTAAAAAGCTGATGTTTGTCCCATAGGTACTGGCAGGACAGCTTGTAGGTCATACATTACCAAAACTGTATTTGATCCATCTTCTTTTGCTTTTTCTTTGTCTGAAGCTTTCTCAGTTCTACTTAGTTCTTTTTCCTCTTGATGTGACTTATACTGACATTGTAATTTTTCTTTTTCTTCGTCAGGCGCGTTTTTAAATGATTCACACAAGTCGCATTGGTCTTTCTTTGGGAAAAAGAAACCAATATTGAATTGTGTATTAAATATGTAGGCGTAGGCGTCATAGTTTGCAGCAGGCTGGCCCAAATCGTCTTGTTGCTTTTTATAGTGTCTGTGCATTTCTGCAATCGATAAACCGCCATCTATAAACTCTCTTGATGTGTTAGCCCTTTGGTAATGGCTCTCTGTACGGGGTATAGAATTTATATGTGATTTTACAGACACCATCATTTCAGGGTTCATCTTTACCTGTTGACCATGTTTTCCACGTTTATCTTGCGGTACAATTCCAGACCCAGAAGCTTTTGCTTGGATAATTGTTCTAATTGATCTCTCCTTAATGCCAAAAGTGTTCATCAGGTATGTTTTGCATACACGCATTTTTTTTCCATTGTGAAGCAGATAGAAAGCACAGTTCTGTCTTCTAGGTGTTTGGATAGTTCTTATGCGGCGATAACTCAACTGAAGTGGTTCAATACAAGAAGACAAATAATCACGTTGTCTCTGCAGTGATCCTAGATTCCAATACTGCTGAAAGAAATCAGCTCTATGGTCTTCGCTAAACTTCTCTGAACACTTCTGAATGCAACGATTAGAGCAAGTAGGTCCCATTGTTTTTTTATTCACAACTTTTCCAGTTCTTGAAATATAACTTTTTCCTGAATTCTTAAGGAGTTTAGCTTTATTTTTTCGCCATTCTTCTGGATTTCTTACTCTCTTCTTACCTTTTTTGATGAGCGTACAATTTTCTGTATTATTCAGAGGACTTATTTTATTTTCAGAAAATAGACTTCTGGGTCTCTTTTTCTCTTTTATGGTAGGGGTCGAATTTGTTTCACTTTCCGACGATATATTATTTTCTGATGGTACATAGTTGTCACTATCTTCTCCAAATAAGCTGTTCTCATCATCTGAGGAATGTTGCTCATTATAGACTGTTCGAGACATTTCTCTCAAAGTGATCTTGGTTGATGAGTGGGTTTCAACAGAATATGATGTACTGGGTTGTGTTTCATAATTGTTTGAAATACGTAGATTATCTAAAAGTAATTAATAATCAATAAAAGTAATTTTGATTAAAAAAGGAAAGTACCTACCTGGTCCAAGTTCACAAGGCTTATGTAGGAACATAATATTAGGGTCTAAACTCGAGGAATTCGGACTTAAATTCACTGGCTGCAATTCTGATAAAATGACCGCATCATTGAGTGTTTCTGAAATATTATTGTCTTCCAATACTGATGGTTCCTCTGGAGTACTGTTCTCTTCTTGTAAATTGTGAGTGGCTAAATGAAGTATCAGCTCAATCCTTTTCATTATTCAAGATTATATTCGCGTTTTATTTCTTCACTGAAATACAAAAAATCTATTATATTGACTGTTTTTACACACACTATTTCACACAAATATTCAATGTTATTTGAGTTAACCATGACATAAATACTGGTTAAGTGACTATAAAATTTACTATTCAAAAACCATAACGACGTAAATGTGTACTTACGGCTTTAATCATCTAGCAAGTCGCCAGAGATATCAAATTTTCTAGGCGAACAATAACACAACTGTCCGTTACGCTGATGTTTCTCTGAGATTACACCAAAACTTTATTTTATTTTGTCACAATCTACACTTATGTCGTTGTAGAAATATAAACGAAGTGTTCCGTTCGACAGTCTTTGAACAACTGACATTTGCGGCGATTTCGTTCCAACAATATGGCAGAAAGTACATAATTTTGACAACGACGCAACTGCTTTCTAGCGGCCAATAAATGTACTACCTTTATGGTATTGTTCCATCCGATAGAATGGCACGTTCTGACTCTTTTGACACATGTAACTCAAAACTGCAAAAAATTGCACTTACGTCTTTGTTGCTCCGGAGAAGCGATATCTGTGACTCCTGTTCTTCTTCTTATTTCTAGGTTAGGTACTTTATCTCTGATGGTAATACCTAATATTGATCTTTCTATAGCGCGTTGTGTAACTCTTATTTTATCTATTGTTCTTTTTGTCAGTGTTAGGGTTTCTGCACCATATGTAAGAACCGGTAAAACGCACTGGTTAAAAACCTTTTTTTTTAAACAAACTGGTATACTAGACTTGAAAATGTTATTCAATCTACCAAAGGCAGCCCATGTGAGACCTATCCTTCTTTGTATTTCAGTTGTCTGATTATCTCGGCCTAAGCGAATCTCATGCCCTAGATATTTGTAAGCTATTACTTGGTCGATGCTATGGCTCTCAATCAGAATTTTACCGCTGACTACAAGGTTGGTCATAAATTTTGTCTTTGAGGTGATAATTTTAAGACCAATTGTTTTTGACACTGTTATAGAGCGTGTGCAGCATTTTTGTAGCTTTAACCACTCTATCAGATATTAAAAAGATATCATCGGCAAATCTTAGGTGGTTCAGATCTTCCCCATTTATAGTAGTACACACCTCTATCATTTCGCTCACCGTATCCAAATGAGCCTATAGCCACTTCTGCGTTATCTTCTTTAAATCCAAGTTTAGCGTTAAAATCGCCCTTTAAGATTAGGTGGTGGGTTTTATTTTTTTCTATAGCTCTATTAATATCTTCATAAAAGTTTTCGATTTCTTCATCGCTATGGCTCGTCGTGGGTGCACATACTTGGATAATTTTAATAGAGCGTCTTTCGTTCAGTTTTAATATGATATTATAGGATATTATGATGCCCAATTTCAGTAATTTACATATTTATAATTTTTGTACATATTTATTAATTCAGCAATTTCTGTACTGTGTTCTTAAATTTTTTGAATAGTTCTAATTTACTTGTGGAATATAAGGGACATTAAAACACAACACTTTTTGTACACTATATTTATTATAAATCTTGTTAAGAAAAAAAAATATGTGTTATAATTTTAATTCTACTTCTTATATTTTAATTTTTAAGTCTTGTTCCTTTTTATCCTTCTCATGTTTAGCCTTTTTCCCCTCTTTCTTTTCCTTTTGCCTTTGATTGTCCTCAATTAATACTTCCAGTTTGTGATCATAATATTTTTTGCCTCAATGGCAGGATTTAAAACTTTAGGCCTCGGCTTTTGATGGGCTGTTTTTTTATTTTTCACGAACATACTTGTTCCAGTTTTTTCTGGGTGAATCCTAAAAACAAGAATAATTTAATTACTACTGTAACTTTTTATTACATCTTTACTACCTGTTCAAGTACTTCTAAAGTAATTTTGGAGTCTGTATTGTTATCACTATGTTCAAATTCATCTTTTGATATTGTTGACGATTCTTCAACAATTAAGATCTAAAAAAAATCTGTTATTGACGTTATTGACATCCATTTCAAATAATTCTTCAACATCATTTTGTAAATCCTAAAACAATTGAAATTAATAATTAGGTTATAAAAAACTTGTTTAAACTTTATTGATTTCAATAGAATCAGAATCAAATTCTGCATTCAAACCCGTCACATTCATCAAATCCAGTACAGCATCTGTACTGGTGTCTAAATGAAAACTGGTGCATAGGCCGCCACCAGTCCCCCCTTGATAGCATCTTAACTTGGCAACTTCCTTTCTCGCCGTGCTCTTAATGTTATCATATTTGGCCCGTACTTGATCCAGTGTCCTTTTATGAAAATTTTTGGCATTAAAATTAGCCACAATTTTTTTCCAAGCATTTTCCTACAAATATAATTTTTATTTTTCATATATCGATGGCTTACAGCACACTTATTCTTCTTCTTCTTCTGGTAGCACTACAACCCGGGGTGGGTCTTGGCTGACTGCACCACCTGCTTCCATCTCGAACGGTCGTCCATGATGTTTAGTGGGTAGCCCCATTGTTCTCAAATCTGACCATATATTATCTCTCCATCGCATTCGTGGACGTCTTAAGGGCCTTCTACCTGTCGGGACTTCTTCCCAGATTAACTTGGTAAGGCGGTTATTAGGGAGCCTATGAACATGGCCAGCCCAGAAGTTGGGATTTAATCTCTTGGACTACGTCGCTAGCACTATACATTTGTTTGACCTCGGCATTTGTTCTCATTCGGTATTGGTTAGTATTCGGATCGTGATAGGGACCGAAGATCTTTCTGAGGATTTTTCTCTCAAAGCATCTGAGTTTACTTTCCATTGCTTTTGTCAGCGTCCACCACTCACACTCATACAAGAGCACCGGTCTAGTTACTGTTTTATATATCCTGATTTTTGATGTTCGTGTTAGGCTCTTGGGTTTAATAGTGTTGTGGAGGCTATGCATACATCTGTTTGCTGCCTGAATTCTCCCTTTTGTCTCTTCCGTGATATCGTTATCTGTGGTGATAGTCGCTCCGAGATATTTAAAACTCTCCACTCTTTCAAAGTTATAGGGGTCTATTGTTACATTTTGTCCTATTCTATCTCGTCTCTTTTGTCTGTTAATGCACATATATTTGGTTTTCTCTTCATTGACCCTTAGACCGGTATTTTTTGCCTCTCTCTCTAATTTATTGAAGGTTTCTTTTACATTGGTGGCGGTATTTCCTACAATGTCAATGTCATCCGCGTATGCTAGTAGTAATTTTGGTCCATTTACTGTCAGTACTGTCACACTTATTGTATGCCCTTTAATGTACTTTTTTAGAAAATCGATTTTCAATGTTTAAGCTTTTGTAGCACAGCATTAAATTCAATATTATACTTTACATAATTTTTTCATAAAGCGTCATTAAATGAACATTGGAATGAGTAAAAAAAAATAAAGACCTTTTCTCACAAAAAAATTAAACAAGACTTTTAACAAAAAGTATGGACATACAATGGTTGGCCACAAAGGTATCGACATACAATAAGTGTACATCATTATCTTGATTTGATTATTGGACGTTTGATGGAAATAAAAATTAAGATATAAGAGAATATAAATGTATTTATTCATGTTAACACAATGAACAACGTCAACAGTCTATTTATCACTTTCAGAATCGCTTTCTACTGGAACTCTGTCTTGCAAATTGACTTTGGTAGGTAGAGAATCTATAGCACCTTTGTAGTCTTTGGGTATAACTCTAACATTACCCAAGTATAATAGATCTTTTTTCTTGGCCATGGATATTGGCAGTTGCTTGGAGTATTTTTTATTTTTCAATGAGACTTCTTTCCAGGTAGGTGATGTTCTTTTGCCCCTTCATGTAGTTGACACATCTTCGTCACACAGAAATCTTCGTCGTACAAGTTATATTTATACTGTATGGTGAATGGCTTACTCTTTTTAAAACGAAGCCACTTTAGTTTAAGCCACTTTAGTTTAAGCCACTGAACTGTTTCATTATTCACGTTCAACTTTGTGTTCATAATCATGAGAGTGGTCACAGCTTTAAGTCAAACATATCCTCATAGCGTAGAACATGTGTTTTGTATAGCCCTGGTTTGATTCTCGCCATTTCGATAAGGAGCGCCCATTCTCGTGTGAAATAAACCGATTTATGTTTTTTAGCCCTCTCGATAGTGGCATGAATTGAATCTGCCTCTAAGTACGAGTGGCCACTTTCCATGAATTTTAAATCAATCATCTCTAGATGTTGTATTTACCGCATATAACATAAATGATGCTATATTTTTGTTGCGATTCTGACGATGCGATCCAAATAGGATGCGATTTCAGACGATCCTTTTCCTCCATTTGTTTCGTCCCAGACGTAACAATGTCCGTCACTATTACAATAATCAAATATCGTAAAGTTAATTACTATTTATAACTGGGAATAAGCCACAATTAAAGATAAAAATACGTTTATTTAAAAATAAACGTATTTTTATCTTTAATTGTGGCTTATTCCCAGTTATAAATAGTAATTAATTTACAATGCCACAAGAAAATAGCTTCAGAACAATATCGTAAAGTTGTACACAAAAAGTTTGCGTCTATAGTAAATTTGAGCATCACCAGCATAGGGCACAGATAAAACTGCCTGCAAGTCAAATGAAATTGATCTAAACATTACACCTTTTTCATCTATTGATCGTTTCTTATCTTCAGCCTTCATCTTAAGCGAGTCAGTTTCTCTCTTTTTTTGAGCTTGATAGTCATTTTCTAAGGCGGACTTGTCTGAAGCATTTTTATACCTATTACAGTGAGAACACTGATCTTTTTTGGTTTATAAAAACTAAATGGAGGTGCGTAGCTATATTGAGAACAGATCTGTACTACAGATTTATACTACACTTGGGTATATTATTCTCCTGGCAAAATTGTTCATAGAGTCTGTATAAAATGGAAACATTCAAATAGCACGATAAGTAAAGCTTCTTTGAGTCTCTTCTACAATAGTGACTTTCCATACGAGGAAAGGAATCGATATGTTCCTTAGCTTTAGCAATTATATTTGCATCTGTAGTATTAGGAGCCTTACGGCCTTTTCTTTTATCGGTCCCCACGTACGCTCCTGATTCGCTAAGTCCAGCCAGTGCCAGGTCTATAACTTTAAAACTTATGCTCAAAGTCTTACACAAAAACTTAAAACATACTCTTTGATTTTCTTTATTTTCGTCTGGTAAGTAATAATACTTGAATACTTTTTCCGTCTTGTAGAGTTTTCTTGACGTGGACGTGCTCGTAAGACTAAATTCTTTTTTACAACTGCACAAATGAAAGATTTTTGTCTACTTGGATCTTTCATCTGCCAATAATCTTTAAATATCTTTTCTCTTTGCATTTGACATATTTTTTGGGAGCATTTAAAACGACATTTAGAGCAGTCAACACCTTTAACTTTTTTCAGGTATTATTTTTCCAGATCGGTTTACATACGTCTTACCTGACACTTGTTTTTTGAGAAGTCTGCAATCCTCTTTCGTATTCTTGTTAAACCTGGATAAATTTTTTCAGCTGGAGAACGTTTAAGATCGGTAGATGAGCTAGATGGAATTGAATCATTGTTCGAGTCTGTAGTAAAAACACTTGCGCAGTTTTTACCAGGTGTCACTGTATTGGTGGACGGTTCTGGATTAAAATTCTCTTGAACAACTTTTCCTATATTACTATTTTCATCACTAGACAGCTCTGAAAAATTTGGTACATATGATTCACCACAATCAGAAAAATCACTATGTTGGCTTGAGTCATGTATCATTCCACTGGTCGATTTAAAGGAGTCGTAGATTTCACTTTGTTTATCCGGAGAATATCAATTTTGCGATGTTGATGGAATGATGTCATTTTTTGACTCTGTAGTACAAATACTCTCACCGAGTCCAGCAGATGTGATGATGTCACTGTATATTACTGGAGTTAAAATCGGGTAGACAGCATTGTCTACATTGTCGTCAATCCCAGTACTAAGTTCAGGATTCGGTTCATCAGCTGAAACAGGAATAAATATATGTTTAAAAAAATCAAGCACTTTGCTTTATTAATGTACTAAAAACTAAAAAAATAAATTTATTGTCTACTGTTTAGTCATGCCTTGTAATTGATTTTCAGCCATTTTTGTAATAAGGTAATAAACCTAAAAAAAAGTTGTCACAAGTGGAATTCGAACCAACACTTAAGAGTGGACTGCAATCTAATTTCAACTCGTTAGATCGCTCGGCTATCTTGACTTCTCTCGTTTGTATCGTAAATCTCTATCTACATAATCACATATTTCTACAAAATGTGTTTTTTATCAACAATAACACACTTTTGTATAATTGATTCATGTATTGTCATCCACAATTCAATTGTAATTACGTACGTAAATTGATAAAAATAGTTACTTACAATTTTGATGGAGTTGTAGAGTTGTTGTCAACTCACTAGGTGGTTCATTTTCACTGAAATATTCGTTACTCGGTGCTAACTGCAATAGTAATTCTGGTACGTTGTTCCATTAGTGTTATCGATAAAACAAAAACAATAAATTCACTTTACCGCAAAAAGAAACACTCTAAAGCAATAACCTCAAAACGCACACCGCAGAGGCTGCTAAAATTCCAGCCGGCGTGTTGATAGTGACATTACTTTGTGTACAATTATTACATGTCCTGGACATACAATATTCTGCCCTTATTCTTTTGATTACTAAGAGCACAAATATTGTATATGTACATGCAACAATTGTGCCCTTCATAATACATTTTTGAGCTTAATTCACAGTTTTGAAATGTCAATTATATTACACCAAATGCTTTAGGACATGCAATATCTGTGCAGGATGATAGATTGTTACGAGATCATTAAGGTACAGGACATAACTGAAATAATGAGAAAAACGGACATACAATAAGTGTGCTTTAAGCCATCGATATAAACAAAAATATATATAATAAAAACTAACCTTTTCATTCCAATTTAGTTTATTTGTCGTTTTATATTTTATAATTGACTTATACTTATAGACTTCCTTAATGAGTAAAAGTTTCTCCTCTTTCGTGAAATTCACAGAACGACTTCTTTTCGATACAGACATAATTAACAACTAACTTTACGAACAATTAACAACTAACTTTTAATACCTAACTTTACAAACAATTAGCAACTAACTTTATAAACAATTAACAACTAACTTTACAAATAATTAACAACTAACTTTAACTTTATAAACAATTAACAACTAACTTTAACTTTACAAACAATTAACAACTTTTACAACCAATTTAAGATACAAAAGATATACGAGGTTATTTGGATTTTGACGAAAACCCGGTAAAATTGACACAAACACGATTACCAACCTACCAAATTAAACACTAAAATTTACTTTTACTAATGAAAAGAGCTGTAGGTATTATGAAACCGGGTGCAACACTAAAGTGCACTTTAGTGTAAAGTGAACATTAGTTGTTGTCATTATCAAATCGGGCGTAAGGTATTATGCAACCGGTTGCTTTAAACAAGTTCTTGGTAGTCTTGTAGAGGTAAATAAAAGTACAGTCTGTAGAATTGTTCATCTAGTGGGTCATAGTTATGTACTCTTATTCGTGAAGAGTGCATAACCATGCCTAAAAATCCCAGAGATATAGCTACGGCAAAGCAAGGATTTTATACACTGGCAAACTTCCCAAGAGTGATAGGAGCTATAGATTGTACTCACATTCGAATTAATTCTCCTGACGGAGAAAACTCTGAACTATATCGTAACAGAAAGGGGTGGTTTTCCATTATTGTACAAATTGTATGTGATTCCAAGTTACATACCATGGATATTGTTGCTAGATGGCCAGGTAGTGTACATGACAGTACAATATATAACTCCAGTTTATTGATTGCCCAATTTGAAGCTGGTGAATATCCTAATTGTTATTTACTTGGGGATAGTGGTTACACCTACACAAATTTTTTATTAACTCCACTTAGTCAAACTATGTCTAAAGCTGAAGAACGTTATCAAAATGCCTACATAAAAATTAGAGATGTTATAGAAAGGTTGAATGGTGTTTTGAAAAGATTTCCAGTTTTAGCTACAGGAATGCAAATAGCACTTAATAACGTAGGAAGAGTCATTGTTACAACATCTGTCTTACATAATATTGCTATTGCCGAAGGAGATGAATGGGAGGAAGAAGCTTTTGCAGAAAACATTTAAGATGAAATTCCTGTGAGAGGCAATGCAGAAAATGTTGTTAGAAGACATTTAATACAACATATTTTTACTTAAAAACAATCTTGTAATTTGTTAACAACACTGATTTGAATACAAATTTTGTAAAATATATCTATTAAATAATTTAAAAATTAGAATGGGAAACATATGGAATAAGAATAAGAGAGCTCATGAACCAGTTGAGATATGCAGACAATATAGTCCTAATAACAGATAAGAACGAAGAGTTACAGAAGATGATTGAGGAACTAGATAAAAAAGCGACAGAGGTAGGTCTAGAAATGAACTATGGTAAAACCAAACAAAAAAAATTAGAGCAGGTGGCAGAATACATATACCTAGGACACATAATAAAGCTGAACAGGGACAATCAAACAGAAGAAATAAAAGAAGAACTAGATTAGCATGGGCATCAGGGCATCATTTGGTAAACTATCATATATTCTAGAAAATAAAAAGTACCCTCAATATATGAGAACAAAAATATTCAACCAGTGCATATTACTAGTTATCACATATGGCTCACAAACATAGACTTTCACAAAGGAGAACATCGACAGGATATCCAAAACACAAAGAGCAATGGAAAGATGCCGGATATAAACAGGAAAAGGTAAATGATGTATCAAGACAGGTTGTAAAACTTAAATGGAATTTCGCCGGCACACTCTGCGACAAAAAGATGAAAGATAGAATAAGCGAATTCTACACTGGCGACCATGGGAACAGAAAAGAAAAAGAGGAAGACTACAAATGAGATGGACAAACGACTTTAACCCGTATCTTGACAATGTAACAAATTTGTAACATTTTCATTTTAGGTCCTAGGTGAGTTCTAGGTGACTTGAGACGCATTTTGTTGGTTAAATTTTGTACTACTAATATAAAGCTGTTCTTAGATGGCAATAGTTGGCTTATATTTTTGTTATTACCGATTTCTGATAACTTCTAAATGAGGCCATCTGTCATACTTTGCATTTTTGAGAAGATTCTCTGTTCTGACTGTTTTTACAAACTTATAATTTTTTATAGGAAATAGTGTAATTTTTTAGTTTGGTAATTATTTTATGTTTTACAATTCTCCTATAAATAGAGTGTGCGTGTTAGTTGTTTTTCGTTTATTAAACTACGAAAAAATGTCGTCAAACATTTTTGTAACAAATTTGAAAAAAAGTCGAATTTGGTACTTAGTGATAAATTAAAGGTGAAATATCTATTCCATAAATTTTTAAATAGTTCTAAAAGGGCAATAATAGAGAGAAAACACAGTATTCATATTTTTTTTTGTTTGATTAGATAAGGGTTAAGAGAACAGCAGGAAAGGACTGGATGCAGATTGTCCAGAATAGAGACCAATGGAGATTAAAAGGGAAGTACTATGACCAAGAATGGGCGTTTAAGGCTGATTAAATGGATTAGATTAGATAGATATTTGATAAATACTTGTATCAATTTTATAATGAAATTATGTATATTGTGCTTAAACCCCACCAAATAAGGAAGAAAATGAGGTATTAAATGGTTCAATTTATTTATTAAACAAAAATGTTAGTAAACATTAAAACATAACTATAAAATTAAACATTAAATTCTTTCCCAAAACGAAGCTTATACTCTTCCAACTTAGTTGCCAATTCAAGTTGGTTAATCCTCTTTCCTAATTTTACAACTTCAAGAGCTTCTTTCTTTATTTCTCCGTCCAGCTCAAATAATGTTTTGTCATTTTTTAATTTTTGGTCTTTTATTTCTTTTTCGGTTTTAATTATATCTTTATTTTTATTTTGGTCCTGTATGTAGTCTTCATTTTGTTTTTTTTTTTATTTTTGTTGCTGTTAGAGGTGAAATGTCATCATATAGAGATCGTAAAGTTTTCGTTTGGTTGCTAAAATAGTAAAATAAATGTATTCTAGGGCAGCGATTCTGCTGGCTTAAGAGGCTACATCAGCGCGTCATCAATATTAATTCGAGAAATGGTGGCCGCACCGTCTTTCAAAAGTTCTGCGAATCGTTGGCAACAGTGCGTCGGCAGTACGTGACATTATTAAAGACGAAGGCACAATATTGTAATAATTAGAGTTCGGATCGGATTTAAAATCATAAAGAAACGCACCAAAAACCTTAACGATTTTATGAAAATATTTTATTATTTATTTATTATATAAAAAATCATAAACATAAGCATATAAATTTTAACAAACCCTTTTTACGAAAGTTAGTATAAAACATCTTAGCTAAAGAATTAGTAAGTACCTATCATAAATTTAATAATAATATACAGTGTGTTTCAATGAAAATTTGGCCGTCCCAGAAACTCAGAAACCAAGAGTTTGTCAAAATTAAATAATTTACGAAATAACTGAAAATAGTTTTTGCTAATTTATTGGTTGAACATAAGTAGTAACAAAAAACATAAAATTTCATCAAATTAACCAATTTAATGTTCGAAATTCTCCTTCACCTGTTCACCTCCTGTGACCTCCATACAATAATACAGTATATTTTCAAAGCCCCTTCGTACATTTGCAAATACCTCCGGTCTGAATAATCGGCATTCTGTCACAATCCTTTGTCGGAACTCGGTAAGATCTACAGACGGAGTTACATATATTTTTGATATTAGGTGAAAGGCAAAAGATCCGGTTATCTGGCCGACTACTCCATTAGACCCCTTCTGCCAATCCAAAGCTCTGGAAAACGTTGTTGATTTAAAAATTGTCTTACGCGTATATCATAATGTGGGGATGTCTTGTCCTGTTAGGAAGTCATTTTATCGCTTACAAGATTATCATCAGGTTCCAATGTGTCAGTGAGCAGCGGATCAATAACGTCTTCTAACAAATTTAAATAAGTTGTTCCGTTGGGATTGCCTTAAAAAACTAATAGTCCAATAACGTGATTCCCTAAAATTCCAACCCATACATTCAGTTTCCGAGATGTTTGTGTATGTGTCTCAATAAATAAATGAGTATTACTGATATTCAAATAACGACAATTATGTCTATTGTCTTCACCATTTAACATAAAAGTACACTCGTCGGAAAAACACGTACAATCGATGTTGGTTGTTTTTATGATTTCACTAAATTCTTCACAAATTTGACGTCGATGATCAAGATCATCTTCGTTTAATTGATGAAGTAATCATATTTTATAAGGATAAAAGTTATAGTATTTTATAATTCGATAAACACTAGATGCTCATAGACCAGATGCACGATGTAGTTGTCTGATAGACTGTCGATTATCCATTTGTCAATGACCCAATACCGCCACTTCAACTGCTGCAGTTGAAATGGATTAATTCTGTATTAATTAATATTGTATACATCTAAACAAATAAAGTATCTGTAAAGGAAATACTACCCTGAAAATTGCTCGCTCGATCCGAGCTCAACTTATAAGTTTTAACGTATATATCAAACAGATTAGCCGTAGAAAATGAACTACAGATTGATTTACAGCATCAATTCTGACGTATAACAAATAAAAAATATAAGTTCGGAAATATCGTCGCCAATGAATATCTATCTACCTGAAAAATTGGCATTTTTACTTTAGTGAAGATTTCTGTACCCAAATACAGATTTATTACCAATTTGATTTTCATGGGAAACAACTTTTCACACCTTTTATTTATGACAGTAGATTGCTTATACTTACACTTACATTATTAAAATTTGTGGTGGTTCTAATTTCGATTTTCGTATCGTTTTAGCACGGTTTTTACTGGACCTTTTCTTGGAAGGCGTGACTTTAATTTTCGCTTGTGAAATTTTTCCCATTTTTAAAAATACTTATATTTGTAGAATAAAAAGTCCTCCCTAAGACTATATACTCGCATTAGAATTTGAAATATTTTTACGTAAAACAGACTTTTAAAACCCACAATTAATAATAATATATTTTTTTCAAATAGTCCGACAACTCAGTTCTATTACCCAAATATAATAAATTAATTTTAAACAAACACTACTTCACTATGAATCAAAACTCGAATTTCAATATCTTGAAAATAGTACACTACTGCATGAACAAATATCGATACAGATAACAGAGCAGAATCGTGCTATCACTTACACAGAAAACAGACGTAGAAGTGCAAATGCGATAGCGGTGACTATTTCTCTATGTTGCCAACTCACTCAGTTAAGTTCGATTTCTTGTTATAGTTATTTGATTTTGGTTCATTTTAGTAACTCCAATGTGACACAAAATCTAGGCTTGGGATAAAAAAGTTTATTTGAAGAAAGTGTATTTTTTTCTTTTTCTTAATGGCGGTAAAAACTCGTTTTTGTAATATTTTATTTAGTTATAGAGTAATTTCCACTTAATGACATATTTTTTAAATCGGGCTTCGTACCGTCATTCTTTACTATATCACTTATATGTGTGCCAAATATCTCGTCAAAATATTTAAAATTAAAGCTGCAATCTTGGAACGCGTTTTCCGTCTTGATGACGCGCTGATGTAGCCTCTTAATGTTCAAGCTAGCAGAATTCGAAAATAAAACTTTTTGGTTATGGAATATTTTTTCACCCATTTTTCACTAATTTATTACCACCCTAATAATTTTTCACCATCAAACCACCCTTAATGGGAGCGATTCTGCTAGCTTAAGGTTCAAGCTAGCAGAATTTAGCAAAAAAAACTTTTTGCCAATGGCATATTTTTTTACCCTTTTTCACTAATTTATTACCACCCTAATAATTTTTGACCACCAAACCACCTTTAAGGGGAGCGATTTTGCTGACTTGCGGTTAAAACTAGTAGAATTCCAAAATTATTTTTATGAACACATGCACAGCGCTCTGCTAGATTTTTATGAATTTATTACCACACTATAATAGTAATTATTCACCCCTTAACTATTTCTTATGAAAAGTCAATAATTCTGTTAGGCTAATATTTAAGGTGATAAAAAATCTATTTTTACAATTTTACTGTACTCTTCTTGTAACTGAAAGTATAAATTGCTAACCAGGTTTTTACTGAATTTTATCCACTCTTATAATTTCCGTGTGTAATTCAATATGATTTGAAATAGTATTTAAAAGACTGAACTTTTTCGTCCATCCGGTGGTGAAACTTTTGTTTCATCCCGGTGAGGGTTTTCGTTTGGAGCTTGACGAAGATTGACTAAATCTCTAGTTAATGAGTTTTCGTTACGTTGGTCTGTAAAATTTTGGACGAGAATTGATTTTATTGATGGCCAGTTTTTACATCCGTATACAGAAATAATTTCTCTGGCTCTTCTTTTAATTTTGTTCATAATTCCTCGGGTAAGCATATGATTTTGACAAATTTCGGGATTTGTATGATCCCAGAAATGGTTTAGAAGCATGGAAATAACATCAATAAAATTGTAGAGTTCATTTGGATTGCCGTCGTACTCTGGTACAATAGAAAGGTCTTTATTTACATCAAAAATGGGTGCCATATTAGAATTATTTGAAATGGATGCTGGTGTAATAATTGTAGAAGGTATTTCAAACGAATTTGTGGACTTAAAAATATGATTATTGTCAACTAAATGTACATCTGGTTTAATATTTTCACTAGATTCTATATTAGATTCAAAAATTGTTGAAAGAGAATCGCTTATTCCAAAGGACGATACTTGTGAAATGATATTAGAATTAGATATACGATGAAATTTGCTTACAGGTATAGGATGATGCTTGGATGCAAGAGGCAGTAAAAAACTTTGATTGATTGGCGCTAGACAACTTTGATTAATACCTTAACTTAGGTAAATTAACTGTTACTGCCCTTCCTGATGTAATCATCCCTCGAAATTCTTTCCCTGTTTTCTCTCTTGTACTACATGTCTTTAGGTCACTTATTTCTTCCAGTATGCTTAAGTCCTCACAGTATGTTCCGAAAATGGAATGGAAAATAACATGTTTATAGGGAAAAACATTCGATGTGCTTGACGAGCCGTAGTCATACAGATTAAGTCACCTAATAGCCCCATTAGGGTTGCAATCTCAGATGCTTCTTTTCCTGCAATCAATTTCAATATGTCATCAATAGCTGGTATGTGATTTAGTATTCTTTGCCGCAGCTGTCCACTTCTGCCGATATCTTTGTGGCGTCTTAACATGAAGAAGTAATACTGTCATAGCTCCCAAACTTTGTGCTATCAATGACCTCTTTTCTGGGGGATATGTTAAACCTTTCAATAATACGTCGTGCATTCCGTTGAATCCATATTTAGGCACCTGAAAAGCTCTGGTTGATCCATCCGGATTCTTGCCAATTGGGAAATCATTCCTACCTAGCCTAAGCTCATTAATCCTTAAGGCATTTCCAAGAAAAAAAATCAAGATAAGGCATGAACATTCCGTACCAATTTTCCTCTGCTCTGTTGAATTTCTTAAATTCTAATCCTTCTTTTGTAGCAGCTTTCTTCACTATTTTTTGGGCACCCTCATAAATGATTTTCATCTGCTGCGCCATACTTGTAATGCTGTAAAATTTCCCAATCTTTGCTTGTGACCCTATTACTCCAACTATTCCGTTGGCCTCCTGTCGCAGTATTGTGAACGCTGAAAATATTATGCTTGTGATCTGCTGGGAGAAATTTATGTTTAGATATTTGTTCATATGTTGCTCGTCTTTCCTCAACGTATTTCCTACCATCTTCTCATAACACTCCATGAATCGCAGACATTTAACCTTAAGTTCCACGTTTGGGTCTACTCTGACTTTTTTGGCCGACACTATAGGTTCGAGTGTATCAATAATGTCCTTTGCTCTCTTTTCTACTCTTATGACAGTTTCAGTATCCATACTTGACCCTGGTTTAGAACTTTCCATTTTATTGTGTGTGTTTGCTAGTTTTTTAATGATACGGATCTGTTTTTGCTCATATATATTTATATATTTATATTTGATAGATATTTTTATTTGTTTTATCCAGTCGCATATTTCCCATGCAAGGTCTGGAACCCACCGTTGCGTGGCCGGTTTCTGATTTCACATCGTCCAGCCCGGAAACTCGACGACGCCGGTCGCTAATCGGGTCGCATGGCATATCATCCTACTCGTCATGATGGTTTTACTAGGGATATATAATGTGATAGTCATCCCGTGGCTTTCTACATCCTTATGCCGTTGAGTGTCCTACCATTTACCAATTCATCCGCCCGAAGCCGTTGGTCAGCAAGTGGGAGATCGCTTATACCGGCAATCACTCGGTATTGAGGAATTTAGGAGTGTGTGAATGGGAATCAGAGCAAGTTGCGCGGTTTGTATGTAGGGGGCGCGACATGTACATGCCACACACACCCCGCGCAAAATGGATCTCTGCCACTCAAACACGGTAAAGAGGACTCATCCGACACTCGGCAATCACTCGGTGAAATTTTCACCATATCTGGATACCCTCACTTAGTTTAGCCTGCAGACCAATGCAGTTGCCCGGGGTGTGGCACGTGGAGCCATAAGTGAGAGTTAGGTGTCTTATGAGCACCAGTTATCAAGAACCATCTCCCGTCTATGACGCTCGATGTAGTCGTTCCAATAACACGTACTACCTCTATAACACAACCCTACACCCCGTACCTAAAATGGCAACATTTATTATACAGTACGGTGGAAATGAAAGGAATAAATTCGTTATTTCGTAAACCGTAGACTTTAAGGAAAAATCCTGAAACCCGTCGATTTCTATTTTTAAATAAGCTATTCGTAAGAATACATTTTTATTTTTGACGTCACCTATGTGAGCGTGATGACGTCAATGCTAAAATTTTTGAATAGAAAGGGGGTATTGTAATACATCATTACTTTTTAGTCTTTTAAATACCTATTCAGCTATATCAATATGTCTAAGTAATTAAAGTTTGTTTTAAAAAATAATTAAATTTTTATTATTACAATAAATATTTATTAAGTATTATTCAATAAATACAACGAAACCTAAATTAAATGCTCAAATTGTTTACCTTCAGCTAAAATACAATGAGAAAGGCGTGCCGCGAAATCTTCTCTAACATTCTCTAAAACTTCCGGAGTTATTTGAACAACCCGATTACGTATTCTTTCTTTCAGTTCATTAATATTTTGTGGTCTATTTTGATACACCTTACTTTTTAAATATCCCCATAAAAAGAAATCAATAGGAGTCGAATCAGGTGACCTAGGCGGCCATTCTATTGTTCCTCTTCGACCTATCCACCGATTTGGAAAGACGTTGTTTAAGTAGTTGCGTACCAAGACAGCATAGTGTGGAGGCACACCATCTTGCTGTAGCCATAAATCATTTCTGTTTGGAAACAACCGGTTCAATTCTGGAAGCAAGAAATTTTGAAGAAATTCTAAATATCGAGGACCTGTAAAGTTTTCTTCGAAAAAGTATGGTCCAATAATCCTATTATCTATTATTCCCACCCAAACATTAATTTTCTCTGGGTATTGAGTACGGTACTCTTGCATCTAGTGTGGATTTTCCGTAACCCAGTACCGATAAGTTTGACGATTGACACGACCGTTTAGTAGAAATGTAGCTTCATCAGAGAAAATAATCTTTTTTAAAAACATCGGATCTCTGTTATTTCGTTACATTATAATGTCACAAAATTCAATTCGTCTATAAGTTCTTGTACTAAACTTACTTTGTAGGGATGCCAATTTTCCTTCTTTAGCTGTTTAAGTACTGTTGAATGGTCCATGTCATTGACTGATTATCTTGAAAAGCTAACAGAACGTATACTTGTTGGTTTTCAGATATTGGTTTTCTACTACTTTTAGGAAGGTCTATAACATGACCCGTTTCTCTAATTTTCTCAATTTTGCATACAGTGGATTGTGAAATTTGTTCTCGACGGGGGTATTTATTATTAAATAACGCACATACTTCTTTCTGCGTACGTGTTTTATATCCATAATCAATCATTATGAGAATTTCAATTCTTTGCGTTTCAGTTAGCTTCATCTTCAAAGATACAAAAAAACATATTGATATGGCTGGATATATGTATTTATGGCTGAATAATAATATTTATTTAAAAGACCTTTCAAATGATATATTACAATACCCCCCTCTCTATTTAAAAATTTTAGCAATGACGTCATCACGCTCACATAGATGACGTCAAAAATAAAAATGTATTCTTACGAATAGCTTATTTAAAAATAAAAATCGACGGGTTTCAGGATTTTTCCTTAAAGTATCCGGTTTACGAAATAACGAATGTATTCCTTTCATTGCCACCATACTGTATATACATTTAATTTATATTATTCCAAACAATATTAGCATTTTTTAAATCTATGTTGTCTGCTCGACGGCAAGCTATAATCCATTTTTTAAAATGTTCATCTGTACTTACAAAATTGTTTTCTCCTACATTCATATTTTCTATGAGCAATTAATTTCATAGGTATCCTAGTCATATTCTGGCTTACTTTTAAGGAAGTTAATATAATTCTGGTCACTGCCATTTACAATTGCATTTACACTTTAACATCACATACACAAAGAAAGTCCCATAGATTTACATATTTCCGTCTTACTACACTTTACACTAGTAGGATGAATGCACCAATAAGCGACCGTGCACCAGTTACCAACCAGTCTTTAAACAAATATTAAAACTAAGTGGCTATACTAATTGGCTTTAGGATTGTAGGGAAATTTAGTTGACTTATTCAATGCAAGTGTAAAGGAAGTGAGAATTTTGGTGTATTGGCAACACTGATGTTCATTATCTTTCGGAAATTTTAAATACCCAATGTCAGTTCCTTTTGTTTTGCGGTTTAATTTCCGCAATTTGCCACGGCACACGACGGCATTTTAAATAGGTATAATAATTTACAAGTACTTTTAATCACCTATCGGATAGTTAACAATAGTTTTTTTTTTCAAATCCAAACATACAACAAACAACGACTTATTAAAAACCACGAAACATATTTCAAAACACTGAAGATACTATCTCACACCATAACATACAACAGCTCGATGCATCGACGTAACGTATCTGCGCGTCAAAGACACGTTTTTATTCCAAACGTAGCATACCGTTGTAAGTGCATCGTAATGGCTGTAACCATTGGGGCTTTGGCACCTCAGGTTGCCATCGAGTTAAATTGGGTGTGAAGTGTGTGTTTGTGAAGTGTGTGTTTGTGAAGTCGTAGACGGTATATTAGAAGATGATAAGGAATAATAATGAGGTTTTTGGAGATCTAATGTTATTTTCTTCCTGAATATATTGGATAGCAAGATCGAGATTAAGTGGTCTCATGGATCGAATTGTTGATCCTAGGGGTTCTCTTAGGCCTGCCAAAAATGTGGTTAGAGCTTGTTGTTGGAAAAATTATTTTTTACTTGTTTTAACTTCCTCGTTTTCCGTGTGTAATTCAATATGGTTTTCGTTTGGAGCTTGACGAAGATTGACTAAATCTCTAGTTAATGAGTTTTCGTTACGTTGGTCTGCAAAATTTTGGACGAGAATTGATTTTATTGACGGCCAGTTTTTACATCCGTATACAGAAATAATTTCTCTGGTTCTTCCTTTAATTTTGTTTATAATTCCTCGGGTAAGCATGTGATTTTGAAAATTTTCGGGATTTGTATGATCCCAGAAATGGTTTAGAAGCATGATCAATTGTAGAGTTTATTTGGATTGCCGTCGTACTCTGGTACGATAGAAAGGTCTTTATTAACCCTTTCAGTATATTTGTCCCTTCCAAGGGACAAACCATTTGGGTATCACGAAGTACCACTTGATAATTACTGTAAAAAAAATCAAAACCAGGTAAATTCAAACCAGGTTTGAATTTACTTCATTTAACCCTTCATTTACCTTATTTGTGTCATATTTAGTGACCAACATTTCCATATTGTCAATATTTTGGATTTTGGACAATATCCTTTTCTAGGGACAAAATTACTTAGAAACATAAAGTTAAGAAAAACAAACTAAAATTATTTGTTAGAAAAACGTAATATGTAGTGAAATACAAATAAATACTTACTAAGATTTGGAATGGATTTTCACAAAACAGTTTCTACCCTTAATTATGCATAAATGTACATTACATTTTGAACAATCAATATGAGTTTTATATTTGCACATTTCAAGCTTGCATCTCGTATTCTTCTTTTTCTCATCGACAAGTGGCATGTGGTCATGACCATCATACCTCATCTCATTATATGGAATCGATTCATAACGTGCCCTTTTCGATGGCACATCATCATTTTGATCGATTGGTCTTCCTGTTTTGGGAGCTACTCTAAACAAGATGAGATGTTCCGCGACACTCTCTCGGAACCCAAGCAAATCCAAAATCTTCTTTGTTGGCACACCCAAGGCTTCGGTTTGCTGTTTATATTCTAACCAAGAGTTGACTAAAACCATATCATTAGCATGGCATATCATGCGTACTGTCCACTTTTTGGAACGAATGTATGAGCGATATATGCTAAGCAAAAAATCTAATATATCGACACCGCCCATGTTTTTATTATACAATCTTATGGATTCGGGTCTTGAGATTTGTATATGAGTTTTCGTAGTTTTGTTCCATATGGTACATTGATCCTCTTGTCCAACTCCGACGAAATTTGAGCCCGTAATAACAGCCTTATTGTCATACCATTTGGTAAGTATAATACCATCCTTACTAAGGGAGATAGCAGAAGATCCTCGACATATCTTTTTTAGATCCTTATCACTTGGCAACGCTAGATGGAAAAACGGTTTACTCTAATTGTTCCGATGGCAAATATTGATTTCGATGCCAGAAATTGAAAAAGATTGTATGAACTGAAATAAAAAAAGAAAAAAAAAGGGGTTAGTCTTCGTAAA